CCAAGCCAATGCCAGGGTTTGGGGGCACCATCTCTAGCAGTACCTGTGTTCAACACAAAGGTAGGATTTAGCACTATGATGTAGTACTTGCACCTAGGAATACTGATCTCAGCTTATATTGCAAAGAAACATATCCTTTGTAAGTATTATTTATATCACCTTTCTTTTCGGCTCAATTTACTTGTCCTGGCAAACTCAGTTTTCTGTTATGACCTATCCCATGTTTTCCTGCTGTCTGTTCCCCGCCTGTCTAGTCTGCCGTGCAAGTTTTTATGTGATATATATACTGAGAACTAGGAAATGCAGGTATGTCACCATTCTTTCCTTTCTTTTGCTCTTGAACATTTCTTGTTTCTTTTGCACATTATCCCCTTTTCAACTTGCACCTCTTTTCCATTCTCTGCATAGGTTTCTCCTTGAGTTATTCTTCTGCATAATCTTCAGATTTGTTTTGTAATATCTACCTGTGTCTCTCATTGATTCCAGGAGGATCTGAGGTTATTCTGAAAATGCCATGACATTGTACTTGCAAATGTATCTTATGAACATGCAGAAAAACACACTGGAACTAATTTAGTGTCCAGCTCATCCTAAATGGTCCAGCAGGGAACAGTGGTCACCCTCTCCCCTTTGACATCTTGTCACAAACACTATTGCATTGTCATGCTGTTGCATAAAGAATGAGAGCTGTGCTGCAATGGATTTTATCTGTTTGCAGTATTTCTCTGTTTAATTGTGTCCCTACTTCTGAAACTAGGAACAGTACATTCCTGGGAATTATGTTTCTGAGAAACAACGGCAGCACAAAATGGCATGCTGCACTGCTGGGAGTGACCCTTTGAAATAAAATGAATGTTCTCTGACATTCTTTCTCTCTTCATTGTAGCTTAACTGGCATCAATACAAAGGTTTACATCTGTATTAAAGATGTTGGTGATTGCTGAATGCATGATACATGAATGGCCATTATCATCTGCAGAGAGTTAGTGTACTATGCATATAATCAATCAGTTTCTGTTCATGTCAGGAACTGGCCAGCTCATTACAGCCCGTATCACATTAACCCTTGCAGCAGAGTGATAAAAGGCAGAAATATTCTGGAACAGGCCAAGTGGTCATCCAATCTACCTATTTTTTTTGCATGATGACCCCATAGGAAAGCAGATTTATTAGACACCAACCCAGACAACCAGAACACTTTCATTTAGTCACTCATATCTAGTCTTGAATCTATTTCTCACTCATTCAAGAGAGGAGTTTACTTCCCACTTAACACTGTCCTGATATTCAAATTCTAGGCATTTTGGTACCCTATGTGGTCAGGGAGGCAACTTTCCTCATCTGACATGCTGCCATCTGCCTCTTGCATGATGGGCTAGTGCTAAAAACACTCGGTTGAGAAGTAGGAGGTGGAGAGCAGGAGGCAGAAGGGAGCCTGACTAGTTCTCTACTCTGCTTGGGCCAAGGGCAGAATTGGGATTTCAGATCATGGTCCCAGGGCTCTGATGTTTTATCCAGTGACAAATCATTGGTGGAAAGTAAGAACAAAACTGAGAGCATGGCCTGGAAGGCCAGCTTCCTAATGTGCACACACTCCGGCAATCAGCAAAATGAGCCAGTAAAATTATAGAGGAAATTCTGCACTTTCTGGAAAAGTTAAACAGCACTGATAAAGCTCCTTCAACTGTGAGATGTATAGATTTGAGTAATTTTATCTATTATGAAGGATAATCTGCCTGGCATCATAATCTATGAAAGGCCTTGATCCCTGGGTTTGCTGATCTACTAATGCTTCACAGCCACAATGCTGGCTTAACTGGCCATGGGAGGAGACACAGCTTCAGCAACAGCTGGAGAAAGATTATCTGATCTGTAAATCTGTCATTTTGCCATGACCTTTTCAAGAAATATGAAAAAACAAGGAACCTCATGTTTCAACCAGAGTTAGTTTAGCATGATTGTGGCTTTCAGTGCTCAACTCATTGCTAATTTCCATGATAGCACTCAGATATCTCAGGATACTAAATGTTCACTGAGGGAAAGTCCAATGCACATCTGAGAAGGCCAGAGATGTCCTCAGACATGTGCTCCCACCTCTTGAGTTGACTGTGCTGAGAGCTGAATCCCTATAAACAGCTGAGGAACCTCTTAAAATAGCCTTAATTTTTACAGCAAGATGATGACATCTTTGAAACTGTAGTCAGGCTTTGAAGCTGACAGTAGCAAAGCTGAAGCTTCTGGAACTGCAGTCCCGGACCAGCACAGATGCCTGCTCTTCAGCCTACATTTGGTTTATAACTGTTGGCATAATTTTTGAGTTATTAGAATTTCAAGAATAAGAAATTCTTCTAATCTAAACAAGTAAAATAGCACTATAAATAACATTTAATCTTCATTGTGACTAAATTAAGTGGAGCAAGACATTATTAAACACATTTCAATTCATTGCCATAGCTTCTCTTAAATTTTATGTGAAGCAGGAAGCTGCAGTTGAAAGCAGGGAAAGACAAAAGTTTCTGACTGAGCCAAGGATGTGGCACAGCTGGGAAAAAAGTAAATATAAATCTCAGGCAGAATATTGCTAGCAGAAGCATTAAACAAAAGAGGAATTTTTCTGTGTGGTAGCAATATGACCTTAGCTGAATTTGCATACAATTTTATCTGCTTATGTTAAAAAACACAAAAACTATTCAAATTGGAACAGGTGCAAAGGAGGGTGGAAGAGGAAGCCTACTTCAGGAGGGCAGACTAAAAATAATTGATATTTAGTCTGATGGATGAAGGCTGACAAGGGATGTAAACAGTTCACAGATGTATTTTGTGGGTTAGGACAATAGAGGATTAACACAGCTGGGAACTAACTACTCAGTCTTACCTAACTTTGGAAGGAAGGCACAGGGCTACAAAGTGGTACAAATACATTTAGATTGTAAGTTAGAAGAGCGTCTGTAACCACTACATTGTGGTTATTTTGTCCATTTCATTTCAGGACTAATGTTCAGTACTAATCAAGTCTTTACCAATTGAGAAGGGGCCAAGAAGCAAGAAACTGCTTAAGCCAGGAGGAAAGCTGATGAAAGCTGAAATTACATGGCATAAAAGCTGGGAAAGAGATTGCTAAAAGATGGGGCGGGGGACACTGAGTGTCCAGGGGAATGGTGGTAGCTTCCTGGTATGCTGGGTTCTATTCAAAAAGGGGGGTGAAAGAGGGAATTCACATCACTTCCACCCTGAGTTTACTATGAGCCTTGCTGTCATTTATCCTCCTCCTGTAGACCTGGGGTGCCTGCTTGGCCAGGGCCAGGAGGTGACTGTGGAGGAGACTTGATGAAGTTGCCTTCCAGTGGGGCTCTCAAAGAAAAAAAAAATATTACATTTAAATTGGGTCTTCTCTGTACAGGGAAAACCTGTATGTTTTAGTTCCATGTACAGCAAGGTGAAGCCAATCCATAGGAACAGTCCATATACTCTTACTGGCTTAAAAAAATCCCCTCAAAACCTAACTCTTCCCCTAGTCACAGTATAACTGATGTCTGAAAATTTGTTTTGTCCCAGAAGAAATTGATTACTTATTCATAAGGCTCATTAGAAACCTGCTAACTAGCATCACTTTGCATTTACAGCTTTGGGAAAGATAAGTCAGGTTTTTGGCTGTTTTGTCTTTTTTCTTTTCTTTCCTTGAGAGGTATGGCAAAAGGCTTCATGTTTTCAAGCTCTGATCACAGTAAAAAAAATCTGGACAGAGCCAGTTGTAATGACAACTGCCTGTGTGATACTGACATACAGCAGGGTTTTATTGTGAGGTTCCTTTAACCTAGAAGTGCAAAAATGCTTCTTGGATTAATATCTTTATATGTCAGTATTTCATTCACTGCATGGAAATGGGTGAAAGACTAGACTGTCTTGTGAAAACATCTTTCAAGCACTTGGCATTGTTAGGTTTTCAATGTATCTAAGAATAGATAAGAACGGAGAGAAAACTCATGACATTGCAGCTAGAGCTAAGTGCAAATTTCTGGAGCTATTTTGATATGAGTGGCAAAGAAAAAAATTGCCACTTGTCTGGAGAAAACCTCTTTTGCATTCATACCAGACTCAAACTGAAAGCATAATTCCATCAGTGTTGCTCACAGATTCTTTTAAATTACCCTTTTATCTTTCCTTTCCAGCTCTACAGCTAGTTCTAGTCCCCATTAATTTGTTGGAAGAATGGATGCCACCAGAGCCTCACTGGCTTATGTGTCCTGAGAATCTCTTGTTTCCTTGCCAAAATCTCTTTAGATTCCTTTTGGTATGAAATAGGTTCTTGCTGTGATATGACAAGATGCATATATGATACATTACATATAATTGCTGTTGTTGGATGACCTTCTGGAATTAGTCTGAGACACCAGAGAGATTCTGGTTTATCCCTGTATTATTTTATACCTGAATTTTATACCTCATTTTACAAAGCCAAACTGTTAAACAACCTTAGAAAGGTTGTTTAACAAGGTTGAATCCTTAGGAAAATATGGATTCACATATAAGAGCCCTAAGTGGAAGTAATAATTTTTAGTGGACTTTTTTATGTTAAACAAAGCAAAAACATCCCCTCAAAACTCTCCAAACCAACCCTCTGCTTAAACAGGGCTATAATATAAATTTATATATATTTATAAATTTAAAAAATCCAGAAACCAGATAGTTTTAAGATGCTTCAAATTTCTTTCTACCAAGCAAGAATGACCAAGCATTACACATAAAAGAAGCAGAGACCTAGAAGTATTTTGCCATCTAACAAACTTATTGACCTTGGTTAATTTTTACATTCTTTGCCTGGTATCATTAAGAATTCCCACATTTGGCTGGCTGTTTTCTCACCTGAATTTAGGTGGTCAACCTGCTAACCCAACTAGGAGTTTCATCTAGACTGTCTCTGCACTGACACAGGTTACTTTAATCAGCTGGTCTGGAGTGGGATGTCCCACCCTCAGAAGCATTTCCCTCCCCCTCTTCAATACACCTAGAATTGAAGATGGGCCTTGAATAAGCACATAACCTTTGAATGATCACCTTGGGATAGTATGCAATGAACCTACTCTGATTAGGTAAGTGTGATTGTGACTCCAAGGTATTCAAACCTTTTACCATGGTGTATTTAGTGTTAATTATGGCTAGGCCTATTTTAAGTAATCATGTCTACTAATGATATTCTCTGCAATTAGTATTTTACTTATGGAGTTTATTTATTATGAAGTCTGGTACTACTGACTTCATAATTTGGTAATGAGAAGGCAGTGTTTTTCTTGTCTAGCTCAACAGTTTGTGTGATAGTAAAAAAAATATATTTTCTAAATTGTGTTAGTTATGTTATCCTTTGGACAGCATATACTTGAGATAAATAAGAAGTGGGGAGTCTGTGCAGATCAAAAACATGTGATTTGAAGCAAACATGCATTTAAGAAAAGGAAACATTTGGAACTTGTTAGCTTTGTGAGTACTTTTTGCAAATAGATGTAATTCTAATGGTCTTAAGGATCTATGCAAGGAAGAGAAGAACTTTATCTTTGTTGACCTCTGAAGCAGAATGATTGGCAAGTATTGGGACTTAATTTGTTGGAAAACAAGTGATCTCATGGTTTAAGTGGCTTTGTCTGTGAGTGCAGTAAGAATTATGAAGATGCAAATCACAGGGAATGAAAGAAATTTGGTTCCACATCGTTTTATTGTCATGAATGTTTTCAGTAATGTGTTTACTCTAGTATTCTCTATGCTGATGCACAGAAACATCTGTTAGTCAGAGAAGTCCAAGTTTTGATAATTGTCTTGTCGAGGCACAAAAAGATCAAGTAGCTTGCTCAAGGTCACACAGAGAGTGAGATTTAGCTTGTGTTTGCAGAGACGTGTTGCTGGATCCCAGCCTTTTATTTAGCTGGTGGACCTCATATTCTCCTTAATATTTAGAGCTTGTTCCATATAGCACATGATTAAAGTTCTTGAGGCTACAGCTTCAAAACCTACTGTTATTTGAGTTGGAACCTAAAGCACTTCTATTCAGACTGCAAATTATAGGTATTAGATAGAAAAGTAAACAGACCATGATTTTGTAATATGTAGCTCTAATCATTTGGAAAAGCTAAGCTTGCAGAGGATAGTACAGCTGCTAGCTGCATAATAAGTAATGTGCAGTATTTTAATCCTGCTGTTTAGAAACATTTTTGACTTTACTTCTAGACAACTGGGAACAGAAAAAGAACTATTCTTGGATTATGTATTTGCTATTTAACACACCAAGCTGTAGATTTTAAAACACATTGTATCCTAATTTCCTTAAAATTTGTTATTTATTTAAAGACAAACCTTCACTTTGAAGGATTTTTTTCATTTAAAAGATCTCTAAAAGGAATATTTTGGAAATAAATTTCTTTCTTTTTAAAGATTAAATCTATGACTATTGGAATAACAATTTATTTTAATAAAAATTTAGGTGTGTGATGCTGCAGAATGTAAAATTTGTTGGATATTCATTCCATTTAGAAGTAATTTGGAAAAATCATTGCAGTGGGTTGCTCAGTAGTCCAACAGGTTGATACAAATGCATAATATCTGTGCTTAAGTCATAAAGCAATGAGATTTTTCTTAGCAGATCCGAGCAAGGGCTCCTTTACCACTGTCCTGGCTGTAAGCATATATTAAAAATGAGCAGGAACACGACAAGGATGTGTTGGTACTGTCACAACACCTGCTGTAGTCTCCCAGTTCTAACTATTCTGTCAGTTCCGATTTCCTGGATTTGTAGCTTTTGTATTTTGTAATCTTCTGTGGATCTGATCATTAAGTGTGAGGGTATCCTACCCTCCCTGGTGATGATTTTAAATTTCTTCAGTGTTTCCCAGATCTCCTCAGGTTGTATTTAAAAATATCTTTTACAGACTTGCCCAAGAGGCCTTTTCATGCTTTTGTGTTTGCAGTACTTTCAATATTTCACAACCCAGCTCCCAGTTTTCCTGTCAGGTCTGTCTAGGGTCATTTTTATTTGAGTTTATTGCTTATGCAGTAATCTTTAGGCCATGATAGAAGGAAGATTAAATCTGAGTTATGTTTGATTAACTATTCTTTCTTCCTTGTTTTTAATGTCCATTATTTAAGCTTATTCTTAATTTCCTTAATTAAAAACTAGAATGCTATGACTATAAAATCTCAGGTTCACAAATATTACAATGACAGGACTGGAAAAAGAGTAGATATTTTTAGTGCATTAATATTAAAAATTTTAAACCACCCTGGTACCCTGCTAAAGTACTGTGCACTGTTTCAGTTCTTGTTCCATTTATTTTTTCAGACAGATGGATCTGAAAAAATAAAGCACAGTGAAATTGCCAATTAAAAAAATCTATTTCAGTCATAAAACTTATCCTGAATAAATAGCTCACTTTTCTCAGAATCATAAAATTTAATATAATATTTCATGCTTTTTTTTTTTTAATTTTAAGGGTGATGTTGGCAGCCTTCCACAGTATTGTCCAAAACATTCAGCTTCATCAAATCTCGGGCTGTGTTGAGGTATATAGCACAAGCACCAAACAGTCTGGAAGAAAGAAATCCTGACTGTCCTTGAGCGTTCATTGCTGCTCTTGCAGCACTCAGTCTGCTGATGTGTCTCTGTGTATGAGCTGCAGAGATGCTTGTGTAAATGTGACTGATATTGGAAAATATGTCTTTAAAATAAATGTTGCCTGCCACACTTTATCCTCCTCAACACTTAGACGGTGAAAAAATGGATGTAAAAGGACTTGGAACACTCGTAAGAGTCTTTTCCATCAGAAAGGAAGGTGAAGTATGGTATTAAGCAACTGCTGGGGAAAGTGGCTTAAGTGGTGAGATGCAGAGTGACTCTAGTCCAGAACTGTTCTGAGGTACCCAGCTGGCCAAAAAGAAAATTTGCTCTACTTTTGGGAACAAATATCACTGCCAGTCTCAGGCATTTGAAAATCATGAATCAGAACTCAAAATCACAAGATTAAGAAGAAGAACTTTAAGAAACAGTACACATTTGAATATATTTGTACCCTGTTTTTTCAGTATTTCATGTACATAAAACATGCTTTCCAAGTAATCTTCCACACCCTTGAGGGTTAACAGGTACTCTTAAAAATGGATGTTTTCATGAGGTAACATGACTTGAAGAGACTGGGTTTTGTGAAAACCATTGCCTATCAGAAGCTTGGATAATACATTCAAAAGGGTTAGCAATAAAGAGTAAAGGAATGGGGAAATGAAGTACAAAGGCTTCAGAAAGCTTAAACTGCCTCTCTGAGTGAGCTGACAGCACTGTTACTGAAATTAAAGTGAAGCTGGCCAGATGAGAAGAGACTGTAAAGATTTTATCGATTAACCTTGTGCAGGGAACACACATCTCATTTTTCCTGGTAAAACAGAACAGGCTCCAAAGAGTAAAATGTGGTGATTTAGAAAACTGCTCAAAGGAGAAGCAATGACAGGATTTATGGCATTCCTAAAAACACAGAAAATAACTAAAACGTGGGAATGTTGTCTCTGTCACTTACACAATTCTTGCATTTTGATAGGCTTATGTAAAGATCCTATAAGGCAGAAGCACAAAACCCCTCAAGATATGTTGTTTTCTGTTTCTAGAATTATCAAACTCAGCAATGATTTTTTACAGGCAGCTGGGAAGAACAATGAAGAGCTGTATAAGAGCAAAATTATCTATTCTGATGACAATTACTACCCCGAAGTTCAGAAAATTTGGAGATGTTTTGGAACTAAGCAAAACCATCTTAAGAAAAGGAATAAGGACCTTCGTTGCATAATCATCACAACTAAGATGAATATTATTATATAAGAACAAAAGATCCTAGAGAACCATTGCCAATGCTTGACAGTTCAGGCATTGTGATTCTCTAGAGCGAAGCAGCAGAAGGATTGAACGTCCAGTCTGCAGTAATTAAACCAACATCTAACTTTATAGCAAATTCACCTAGATTTTTAGACATAAGGCCTGACATACATTGGCATTCCAGAAAGGGAAGCAGAGAGAAAAGAGTGAAATATGAAGTCCGGATGCTCTATTATGTCCAAAGAGCAAAAAGGGCACCCAGGGGAGGAAGTATAAAGCTGCCTTTTTCTGAGTTGCAGTGTTCCTGCATCCAGACCCTTCAGGAACTTCCAGCAAACTTAAGGCTGTTTGGGGTTATGTATTATCTGGCAACGGACTCAAGGGTCCAATAAAGCAGCTGGGGATCAGCTTAGAGAAATACTATCTCCTGTGGAGGCAGCAAGAAGAAGGGGAAGTTCTGAACCTAAATTTCTCATTTTCTAGTAAGCATAACAACATCTCTACAGCTGTATGAATCCCTTGCAGAATGGATATGTCAGGCTTAAAAGCAAAATCTTTGGGCTGTGGAGCCACACCATCAAAATAAGCAACAAGTTTTATAAACTCCATGTTTTACATTGTGCTACAATGGTAGGTTTAATAACCAGATGTCAAAGATGGATATTACAGATACCAGGAAGGGAAATAAACAATGGGATAAAGGTATTAAAAAGAAAAGGCAGTATGATGGGTAAAATGTGGAGAAATAGTGATAGAAAAAGGGGTAAATAAGCAGAGGAACATACAGACAGCCTAAGTCAACTCCATTTATTTCAGACTTGCCTTGTTCCTTGTCTTATTCTGAAAAGTAAAAGAGCAAAAATTAGCAAAAAAGGGGTAAAATATGTTGCAGCTTTCTGAGCTGTTTCTCTTTCCTTCATATTCTTTCAATAGGAAGCAAAAGTTTTCTGGGGAACCTTATGAGAAGGCAATTCTTTGTCTACTTTGGCTGTTAAAAATAGCAGTCATAGCTCTCAGCCTACTGATCCTTGAAGCTACACAGCGTTTCTGTCCAAATAAATTTGAGTTCAGGGATTACTAATTTAGGTTATTTTCTGATCCTAACTGAGTGTTAGGATCACCCTGTTTTCAGAATGGCTTTATATCCAGAAAAAATGTAATTTAAACTGCATTCTTTATTGCACTGTGCTGGGTACATTTGTATTGCTGTATGAGGAACCCAAACTTAGAACAAAGGCTTTCTTTTTTTTTTTTCTTTTCCTTTAGTGTCTTTGCTTATAGAAGTAGGTGCATACCTACACATTAATGAATACCACAGCTCTTCTGTCTTTCATGTGGGACAACAATGATGGTGTTTTTCTTCTTAGCATTTATTTATTTTTCAGGAATATTAACATGAATATATAAATTTTTGTACAAGTTTGTGGCTTGATTATGAAGCATAAATGCCGAGAATTTAATAAGTGACATTTAATATGTTAATATTAATATGTTAATTATTAATATTAATATGTTAATGTTGTAGTGAAAGAAATTTTGGTTATTATTCACATAGAAAGAACCTTAAGAATTGAACATTACAGAACATCTACAGTGTTAATTACCAATTAACCTTTCTGAGTGTGGACTCCTAAAACTCAGATGCCACCAAGGGGAGAAGCACATGAAATTTAATCAGCAGGTTGTGGGCTAAAACTTCTGGGTCTCCTCAGCTGTGCTGTAATTAGTTACAATGGAATGAGCACCAAATTATCTATACTCTAAACTCAGGACACAGCCAACCAGCCATTGGGACTTTAGGGCTGAATAGACTCTGTTTTGTTCAAATATAGCTAATACAAGCAACACATCTGCTGGTGGTTAAAGAGACCTCAGTGTGGCTGGGAGACAATGTATTGTAAATTGTATGAGCAAATTATTGCTGGCTCTGTCTGTTACTATGACAGTAATAGTGTGTAAAATATGAAGCTGTAGCCAAGGTCAGGATGGACAGTATCTCAATGAGTAAGATACTAAGGTATGGCTTTCCGTGTAATTCTGGCCAAATATAAATTTATGCTTACTGTGTTTTTTAATGTGGCACAGCTTAGGTCTCTGAAGACAGAACAGAAAACCATGCTGGCTTTAATTCTCGGTTGATTTATTTAAAGACAATAATAGATACAAGTAACCTTGTATAGATAGCTTTTCATATGGAATATTTACCCCTGTCCTCTACAGTCTTGTCATAACAGTGCAAAATCTACAGAGGTATTCTGCTTATGTGAATTTAACAGATGACATAACTTATTGGTGCAAAGATTTGCTTGTATCTGAGCTGTCAGAAATATGAGATCATTCTTCTTTCTTGTTTAGGCTGACCTTTTCCTCTAGAAAATATTTTAACCATATTTTCCATTACAGACCTACATTAGGCATTACATACATGAACAAAAAGGACAGACCATTTTAAAGAAACAAAACTTTTGTCCTCCTCTCCAAACTTGAAAAGAGTACCTGTCCTGACATTCCACATAAAATGAAAAAAAGGAAATAAAGAAGAGAGAACAAGGTATGCTAGCAACTAGTTGTGAACTGTGTAACAAATAAATAACTGTCTTAGCACCCCAAATGAGAATCCTCAAGCATACTTGTCCTAACTAGCTGCATATATAATTCACCTTATGTTGTAAGACACGCTCCATTACTTATAATTTCACTTCCACAGTCTACCAATCATTTTGGTTCATTTTCAGTGGTAATATGCTTAGTTGCATATCCAGGGGTAGCAGGTAGGAGGGTGAAAGCTTAATCAACTTGATGACAAATTGCTGAATCTTGTATTTGAATTTGAAGAATGAGGATTTTAAACAGTCTAGAGCTAACCTGTTCCTAGACTACTAGGGATAACTAAGCTAGGCCCAGGAAACTGCAGACTTTGGAGTATGATGGTGGAAATCACTATCTGGTTCCTGCAGGTATTTTTGTAACGATTAATTTTGAACGTAGAGTAGCATAGCGACTTCGTTGAGACTTTGTGCACTTTTGGTTTAGTAATGCATACTTTTAGAAATGCAGCAGTGTCAACTACAATTGTTCTCTACCTGAAATTCTTGAATTAGTCATTTTTTCTGATACCAGATTCCAGAGGACAAGAAGTGTTGGAATGCTGGAAAGCTTACTGGCCCAAAAAAATGTGTCTATTGCGTGGGCGAAGTTGAGCTCTTTCTTCACATCATTGTCTGGCTTGCTGACTTTTCTCTATCTGGATTTCTGCTTAGTAATTGTCCTTCCAGTGGTCTTGCTCTCCTGTGCATCTCTTTGAAGTATTTCAGTCACTGGTTGTCTGAGCTGCCAGGCTCAAAACTCTGAACAGAGGGCTAGTAACCCTACATGATTCCTTGGTATATGTTGTTCTCCATTCTTTTTTTTAGCCTCTGAGCTCCTTCTTGGACGGAGTCACCCTGCTCCATTCTTAATTAAATGTTGAAGGCCTGCCCAAGTCCAGCCTTCCCTCTCATTTATTAGATTGCTTGTCCAGACTCCTTCCTGAATGGTCTCAAAGGGAGCTTCTGATTTCATCTTTCCTCATTTGGAACTTCTAATTTCTTCTTTTCTCATTTGTGACTTCAAGTTTATGTGGAAATTTGTCATGATCCTTTTGTCATTTGTTCATTTTTCCCCCTTTCTTCCTGCTTTGTAGTGCCTTCCTCTGCTTGCTCTTTCTCTTTTGTCCCTTGCCCCCATAATTCTATTGATCTCATCCTGTGGATGAGAACCTACTTTTCTCAGATGCCGAGGTCAGATGTCGCAAAAGGCTTTTGTTTCCTTCCTATTCCAATTTAGTCCCTATTTCCTATTTATTTCCTATTTCCGATTTAGTCCCTCTGGGCTAAAGTTGTGGGCAGCAGGTAATACATCAGCAGAGTACCTCTTGCCTGTCTTATCAGGGTACACCACCTCCATCACTTGGGTGTCCTCAGATTTGGTGGTGCTCCTCTGATGGACACCTCCAGGACAGACCAGTGTGGTCAGGACAAATAAGCTAGCAGTCAGCACCACTTCACAAATATGCTGCTGTTCTCTGCTAAAGAGTGGGGAACCTAGGTTAGTTCTTCTTCCAGAAAAAGTCTGATGGAGAAGTATATCGACCAACTTAGCACTGTAAGAGGCAGTTTTCAGCCTTCCTTTTGAAGCTGGACTGCCCTCTAGAAATAAATGCAAATTTCATGTAACTTGAGAGGTGTCTTTGCATCTGAGTAAGTGAATGTTATTTGGGCGAGACCAGAGCTGAGCTCTAATTGTCTTTTAGGGGTCTACACTATTTTACATGAAATTAAAATCCTAAATGGGCAAGCTATAAGACACTTCTCTCTAGCACTTTCTGTTGGTTTTCCAGTATGACCCCATTCTCGATCCAATCTTCACCTGCTTGATAGCCCTGTGCAGAGTGTAGAGAGCACCAGTGGCTGTTCAGTGCTGTGGAATTGATCCTAATGGCCATGCAGTGTATAAGACAGTCATCATTTACCTGAGTCCCTTTGTGGGTCAAGTCCTGGGTGTCTCATTAAAATAATGAGAAAAGACATGGACAGGGGGACAAACCATCTGTAGTCCTCGGAAGTTTGTTCTTGACAGTGGTCCCGGCTTCTCTCCCAGAACAGATGATGCCCTTCTCTTCACCTTTGTTGCTCTGTCCAGTCTGCAGCTTCTGCTCTTGGCTTTTATTTCACTCAAATGTTCTCAGCTGCCAGCTGGTTCTCCCATCCCAGTGACTGGATCACAATGCAGACTACAGCTGTGAGTGACATACTGAGTAGTATCTCAAAAGGTAGTAAATAAAGGCTTACTTATTCAAAGGAAATGAAATACATAATAATGAACAAATTCATTGATTTTAGCTTAAGCAAATAAGTCTAGTGAGATTTATTTGAAGTGCAGATCTTTTTTGTATGTGTTTATTTTTTAAAAAAAGTGCATGGATGCCAAAGTTCCAGATATTTTTTTTAGAATAAATTCATGAAGTTGTCAGATGTGACTTTGAAGCTTTCCCCAACCTTTTGAAAGTAATAAAACTGGGTGGGTTCAGTGCCTCAGATGGAATCTCCTAGACGTAAAATCCATCTACTAAGGTGTTTCATATTTTCTAAAAGCCAAAATCGTGCAAACTGCAGCCCGAACTACGAGGTGCTTGTTAAGCGTAGGCAGAAAACAGTGTCAAATGTTCTTTAGGCTGCCTTTCATAATCACTTGTTGGCTCCACTCCTGCAGGACCTCCTAGAAGGAGGTCTTGGCCATGTTCTAAAATAATACATTTATCCATAAGCAGCAAAGGCTACAGCTGCAGCCTGGTGTTTGTGTGAGATTTAAACACCAATGGAAAGGTCTTTTAACTTCTCTGAATTCCTCATTAAAATGCTGGTGTGATTTTCTACAGCCACCTCAGCTAAGAGTAGCAGTCCAACAAAGAAGCACTGGAAGAGATTGGCATTGTATAATTCCCTTTGAAACGTGGCAAGCCAAGGAAGAAATTTGGATCCCCCATAAAGAGAAATTGGAGCAGGAAAAGTATTTTCACCAATAGCGGCTGTGGGGAGGAATTCTGTGGAGACGGCTCTTCAGCAAGAAGCTGGTGGTGAGCAGTTCAAGAAAAGACTGTAGTCTCAAAATGCTGCATGTCTTTGTGGGTGCTGTTGTCTTCTTAAAAACAAACAAACAAACAAAACCAAAAAAACAAAACCAACAAAAAACTTTTTTAAGTGCAATATTTTCTCTAGCTGGGCTTTCCCCTTTTCAACACATGAGCTAATCTGCCTTTGCCATCTGTTCAGATCTCTGGGAGCTGCAGAGAAATCAAGATAGGAGCGTCAGGGCTGTGTATCTGTGTGTATGATTATGAAGAGGTTTATTTGCCCAAGGAATAATGAAAACCAATAGCCTGGAACTGCAGCCAGACAAAGTCTTATTGGAAATAAGACACAAGGTTTTAACAGGGAAAAGACTAATCTTTGGAAAATACCACAGTTGGTGTCTCCATCTCTGGATATCTGCAAATCAAACCAGGGCCCTGGTGCCTGATTGGTGTGCTGCACTCCCAGGAGTCAGCCAAGTTCAACCTGCTGAGTTAAAGACCTGAGAAGTCAGACCATGGGATCCAGGTCTAGCACGTTCTTCTCACTTTTTGGGTATAAGAAGGTTTTTAAGGAAAATAAGAGCGTCGAGATACATCCCAGTTTGAGATTGACAGGCTTGACTTTTACATCTGCTTGTTTTTACTAGATGTGTAATGACATTGTTAAGAGGTATAATAAATAGTTTTATTTCAGATTTTCTAGTATGTATGAGCTTCTGAAAGAAGTTTCCAAGGCTAACATGCACCTGATTTGTAGAAGTTTCCTGAGGCAAATATAGTCAATTTTGTCATATTTTTATCACCTCTTCTAGACTGTTACAGATTTCCTACCTGGTCCTTGTGAAGTGATAGGACATCTACCATATGAAGAAGGCCTGAATCTGTTCTTGGATGCACAATATAGGACTGTGTGACACATTCAGGTGAACTGAAAGGGGTGGGACCATCTGCTCAGTATTAGGTTGAAATTTTCAGTCAGTGACAGTTAATATTTCTTTCTCACACAGGACCAGAAACATTTTACCTTTGGAAAACACCATCTGTTTTTCAAAAGCTGAAAATATAAAAAAATCAGAGTTTGACATTCTTAAAATGATTATCCTGACATGAGTCCATAGTGGCACTGGATGGGTGACTTTTCGATGCAGTGAGTGACAACTGTAAAAATCAGCCCTGTTGCTAGAGAAAATACTTAAAGAGAGAGGAAAAAGAAAGTTTAAAACAACTGAATTTGGAAATATTTTTTCTCTAGCATCCCTTGAAGGGAAATGTGTGCCTATATCCCTGTCTTGGAGGTGAAGTTTCAAAGTGTGTTTGATTTTATTTTGTTTAGAATATCTTTGATTCTGTTGTTGCTTTGCCTGAAAATCTGCATTAGATATTTTGTCTCATTTCAAAATCCATCAAACTTTCTAGATGTTGCACAAATGAATCTGCTTAGCTTTACAAAACTTTTTTTGTAAGGGATGAAATAATTTGCCATTTTCTTAACTTTGAAAAGGCCACAAGATTTACATGTTTAATAGAGATTTTAAAGTAAAATGATCATTTTGTCATAGAATTAGGGAAAGAAATCAAATTGTGGCTAAGATGAATGTTTATGTTGACATTGGGCCTGAAAAACTTTGTATTGCTTGTGAAATGGTGGTTTGGGTTGTTTTTTTTTTGTTTTTTGGCTGTTTGTATTTTTTTTTTTATTTTTGTGGACGTCAAATACATCAATGCCTATGAAAGAAAGCATTGTATATGGTAAATTATCACTGTGCAGTAAATAAACAAAGGGGAAGAGATCTACTAGACTTCACTCAGAATTTTATTGGCCTTTATATATTTCTGTCCCAGAAGAAGTTGAATCTGGCTGGGAACCGCACCAGGACATGTATGTGAAGGGATAACCACTGGTGAGTCCAGTAGATACACCAGTCACATGAGAAGGAGAATCCAACTGTGTAGCTGAGGACATTACCCAAAGAGACTTTGAAAAAGAAAGGTCATCAAACTGTAAGACTAAAAGGCACTGTAGTAACAGTTTCAGAGCAGGAGTGGAGAAGGAGTGTGAGTGCAGCTGAATATCTGCTCACATAATTATGTCAGTTCCTTCTTCCTGTTCAGATTCAGTAATGCAAAGCATTCACTATATCCTGGCCTAAAACACTGTGAAGTGCTTCTGTGCTTTGCTAAGCATTTGTGACAGGTTGTCTTAGAGGCTGAGCACATTTCAGTGGTGAAAGAAGAGGTCCCTGTATACACTGGCCATGTCTCAGCTGAAGTTTGTAAACCACTTTGGAATCCATTGGGCCATAAATCCACGTAATGTAAGGCCATTATCATGTTTGATATGAAAACTAGATTTGTTGCCAAAAATTACAAAGTCTCCTTTAAACTTTGAAAGACCGTAGCTAGACTCATCATTAAAGTAGGGCAAGAACAAAGTCAGACCGGACTAACCAGTAATTTTTGTGTTACCTTGGCACCGCATTTTCTCCCTGTAGGCAAGGTTGATCCTATTCCTTTTCACCTTCTTCCTCTGGGTTCTCCAAAGTCCGTGACTATAATCATGGGGTGGACTTGGCAGCAGTGTGTAGGACCTGGAATGTGTTTTTCCAGCAGCCGTGTCTGGCTTTGTGGCTGAGTTCTTTGGCTGACGCCATGGCTGGCTCTGCTGGCAGACACTTCTTCTTTGGGGGCTCTTTGGGTTCACTGGTTGTCAGCTTACTTTCTGTTCTGCCCTGGATGCTTTTTACCTTGAGTCACACTTCCTTTTTTATTTTTTTTTAATTTTTTTTTTTTGAGGACTATGTTTATGTACAAACTTTCTATTATGAAAACACCTGATACAGCAAGAATCTTTCCGTATTTCAGTGTTCTTGTAATTGTTTCCCTGGGAACCAAGTGTAAATGTGCATATTTGCTCAGAAAAGTAGCTGCTGCTATACACATGGTCACATGTGCACACATGGAATAAAGCTGCTCAGCTTGGGACCTTCTTTAGCGATTTCTGTCACTGGTAATGTGGAGAATCTCAATTTCCATGACAAATACTGCCTTATTGTGCCCTTTGCTGAAACAAGACCTGGATCTGCAAAGATATTTAGGTGACTAACCATTATGTAGGTGCTTCATTTCCACTGAGCCCTGTTAAGTGCACTAACTGCTTTTAGGGATATGGGCATTATAACTTGCAGAGAGCTGGAGCCAGCAGGTCATGGATGTGATGCCAGCTTGGCAGGATGGATTCTCTTCCTCAGTCTTGGGTCTCCACCTGTTTGCACTTTTGTTGACTAATTACTCTACTGAAGTATATTTCTGCAAGTAGTTTCACCAGGAGATGAGACAGTAAACTGAAAGACCCTCATTGGATCCTGATGATACTTCTCCACAATTATTATTTTTTTAGCTTTTTCTGATATTTTGAAATATATTTTCAGTGTCAATTTTTGTTTTCTCTCTTACATCTTTCTTCCTCCTTTTCTTCTTGGTTTTCCTGCTTTTACTTTCTAGATTCATTCCTTCTGGGATGGCCTGGAAAGTAAGAAAAAAAAAAGCTATAAAATAAGAGCACTGTAAATTACACAAAATACTTCAATTTGAAAAAGCAGTCTCTGCTTGATAGAAATGGTTTGAATGGAGAATGCTGGTAGCTATAACCTCAGTAAGTGGATTGAGGCAACAAGTCTCAGCCTATGTTCAAATAGTTTTTTTGGAAAAAAGGATTTCCTTTTTTTATATTAGATACTTTTAGAAGCATTTAGCATTTTGGTGCCTGTACCCCTTAGTTGAAGCTGTGAGAATGTACTCTAGGGTGTATCAACATGTCAGCAAAGTTCCTTGGACTTGTACCCTCTTTTGGCTGTGGACCCTGGTTCCTAGCTGCAGAGGCACTTGTTTACTACTGGACTTTTATTTTCTCAAATGAGACAGCTCTTGGTATAATCTCCTTTCCTGCACTGTTGTGTAGCTGATTGATTAGCATGGAAGTCAATCTCCCTAAGGACTTCTGTGAGACCTTTGACCTCCCCTCTCCCTGGGGTGAACTTATAGCCCCTTCAGTACCTAAAGGGGGTCTACAAGAGAGCTGGAGAGGAATTTTTTCCAGGGCCTGTGGTAATAGCACAAGGGGGAATGGCTTTAGTTTGAATGAGGGTCAGTTTAGACCAGATACAAGGAAGATATTTTTTACAGTGAAAGTAGTGATGCACCAGAAAAAGTTGCCCACAGTAGTGGTACTTGCCCTATCCCTGAAAATATTCAAAGCCAGGCTGGAATGGGGCTCTGAGCAACCTGATTTTAGTAAAAGGTGGCTTGGCTTGTTGCAGGGAGATTGTAACTAGACGACCTTCAAAAGCCCCTTCCAACCCAAACTTCCTTCCTACCCATTCTGTTTCCCATGTCCTTTATTTGGCTGAGTTTGAGTCAAATTATTTCCAAAAGAGATTTTTTTTTTTTTTGAGGAGAATTTTCCCTGGAGATCACCTAGAGTAAATTTTTATCTTTTTCACCTTCTAATCCATCTTTAAAACACAGAAGCAGGACTAAGAGGGAATTAATAAATAACAATATGACTCAGTGTAAGAGGAGTGGGAATATCAAGTTCCTCTTTCACAAATAAATGGAAATTCCAGTCTTTTGACAAGGTACAAAATTTTCTTACAACAGCAGGGCTGAGTAGCAAAGGAGAAGTACAAAAGAATATTCCTGAAGCTGTAGAGGAAGACTTCCTGAATTCTGGATTACAAATGTAGAAGATGCTGGTTTTCTGTTAGTAGTTCCAGCTTTGTGTCCTAAACAATTGTGTAGGAACAATTTTGTTTGTTGGTTTGTTTTAAATGTGCAGTGCACATTTAAAGTGCACAAGACATCTTTTGAAAGTCTCAGAAGTATTCCAGTTTTCAATTGGTTTTATTATTTTAAAAAATATCTGACAGAAAATGTCTTCAGGAGGTGTTCATGAATGTAGTTTGCATAAGGGTGTTGTTTTGTTTGCTCTAACATCTTAGAAAAGTAGGGTTAATTGAGGTAAATGTCTATTTCAATTCATTGAGTGACCATTTGTCTTTTGCATTTTGATTTATAAATACCACAAAGGAAGATATTATCAAACAATAATAGCTGTCAAACTCTCTTTCCAGACAGCCCCAAATAGATAATTATTTTTTTTTTTCAGAGATTTGTCCAGTTTACTCTCTAAGTTACAAGGAAAATAAGACTCCTGCTGTTTTTCTTCAGATACTTATCTGTAATTAACAAATCTCATTGTTAAGACTCTCCCCTAATATATTTATTTTCTGTATTTTTACTTACACCTTCTTGTTCTAGCCTATTATTCCCTTGCTTGCTGTTTACACTCTTCAGATACATGAAATGTATGGCTTTTGGACATTGTGGAGACAATCAAACATCCTTACTTTAATGTCTCTTCATAAACCAAACCCCACAGTTGTTCAATTATTTTTTATGGGTTTTTTTCCACATACCCATCTTTCTGCTGCCTTTTTCTGGTATTGAAATATTTAGAATTGTGCAGTGATTCCTGCATATAACCCCCCCCAGAGGGAGGCTGAATCATTCACCATTCACTGGTACAGTATCTGTGACCACATACACAGCTAGCTATGAACTTCAATTTGTGTTGCTCTCTGACATCTGATAATTTGATGCTTTGTAACGTGTCTTTAATTCTGGTTAAATGAGAACAGCATTTGGGACTGTTTGAAAGCCTGAATTAACAAATGTATGGTATTTAGAAATTTTAGAAGACATGCTGTAAACTAATGATCACAGATTTGCATAACAACCAGTTGCAAATAAGGACTAAATGTGATACTGCAATGTCAGAGAAGGAGATCTAAATGGAACAAATGTTTTGACATGCCACGTAAAAAGGAGATGTAGTATTCACACACACTGAAGGATAATTGGTAGTATTAATGAATCAGGAAAATAAGTCTGGAAGGATCTAAGACATCACCTTGTCCATTATCCTGTCTAGAGGTAGGGTGCAGTACAGCTCTGCTGGAGTTTATCTTTCCTATTATTGTGCATCTCTACTGAAAAGGCTGTAATTCCAACAGCAAATCTATTCCAGTATTTACAAAGTAATCCCACTAGAAGGCTTTTTCTATTTTCCAACCTGCATAATACTGATATGGATGCTAGCTTTAGAGCAGGCTGCAGGGAGCTGCAGAAACTGCTGCTCCATGGTCTCTCAGTCCTACCCTCTAGTCACAGAATATTTGAGCAGTCATAATCAGTGCTCTTGAGAATGACTGTCTGCGAGGGAGATGCTGACAAGGAGAAGAGCTATTAATTCAACTAATTGAATTAATAAAACTAAAATGAAACTAAAATGAAACTAAAAAAGCTTCACCCATGCCAGAGACCCAGCTGCTGATAAAGCTGATTGCAGTAGTGCTGTCCTGATTTGCTGCATCCAAATTTATGTATTTATGTAGATGGAGTTTGTTTGAAAAATACAAAGCTGTGGTATAATTTTTAAGCCAGTTCCTTACATGTGTACCCCAAGTTTCCTCTGAGCTAACTAAACTTCACTTGCAAAATACTATCAATTAAAAACTGGTCTAACAGAAGAAAATAGCAGGGCAAGATGCAAAGCCTGCAAAACTACCCTGGAAGAAGTACTGTAAGAAGACCTTTCTCTTTAAGTTATGTTTAGAATACTAAATTATTTGTGGGGAATGGGGGGTAAGTACATTGTAAATGATTTGTAGCTTTATTGATACTTCAATTCCACATTCAAGCTAGTGTCAGGAAATGCAGGGAGAC